CTCTCTCTCTCTCTCTCTCTCTCTCTCTCTCTCTCTCTCTCTCTCTCTCTTGAGGTGATTCTCGAGAGTAAAAAGAGGAAATGTTTTGTAGTTATAGATCAACAACGAAAATGTTAAGTCTTGTAAAGTCTTAAAATTTTAATGCGAATCTCATGTAAAACATGAGACAATGAGTGAGAAGTTTTAATAAAACACATTTATTAATGTTTTTAAAACACTGAAAGCGAAATGCGTTCATATTATTACCATAATGTGATCAGAAAATAATTCGTTAATACATTTAAGCACTCAAATCAATATTCAGCAAAAATTGTGCGAAAAATATTTATTTTATCATTAATTAGATTAAAAATATACAGAAATTGATTGACATTTTAGCCAACAATGAAATATTAACAAAACATAACACACAATGAAAAGTCAATGAATGCAGAGAATTGTATTCAAGGAATGCATTCATCGCAAGAATGAGAGAGAGAGAGAGAGAGAGAGAGAGAGAGAGAGAGNATATACAGAAATTGATTGACATTTTAGCCAACAATGAAATATTAACAAAACATAACACACAATGAAAAGTCAATGAATGCATAGAATTGTATTCAAGGAATGCATTCATCGCAAGAATGAGAGAGAGAGAGAGAGAGACTAAAAACATTTCTATGATTTTACAACATTAGACTTAATTCTCAGAAATCTATATTCTATTCACACAAATCTAATTGAAATAAAGTTTCATTTTGTTTACATTTCGTCGAGAGAAGAAGTGGGGAAAGAATTTTATATACAATTTTAATGATAAGAACTAAATAATACTAAAAATAGTGTTTCCAGAGCTGTATATAATATGGTCTGTAGTTATTCTCTTGTTATAAATATTTCTATTTTTAGTTGTTTTACTCTATCAGTAGTGAAAGTAATTAAATTAAGTCAAAAAGCCATACAAATAACAGTAAGAATTTAATAGGAGAGAGAGAGAGAGAGAGAGAGAGAGAGACTAAAAACATTTCTATGATTTTACAACATTAGACTTAATTCTGAGAAATCTATATTCTATTCACACAAATCTAATTGAAATAAAGTTTCATTTTGTTTACATTTCGTTGAGAAGAAGTGGGGAAAGAATTTTATATTCAATTTTAATGATAAGAACTAAATAATACTAAAAATAGTGTTTCCAGAGTTGTATATAATATGGTCTTTAGTTATTCTCTTGTTATAAATATTTCTATTTTTAGTTGTTTTACTCTATCAGTAGTGAAAGTAATTAAATTAAGTCAAAAAAGCCATACAAATAACAGTAAGAATTTAATGAGAGAGAGAGAGAGAGAGAGAGAGAGAGAGAGAGATCTCTCTCTCTCTCTCTCTCTCTCTCTCTCTCTCCTATTAAATTCTTACTGTTATTTGTATGGCTTTTTGACTTAATTTAATTACTTTCACTACTGATAGAGTAAAACAACTAAAAATAGAAATATTTATAACAAGAGAGAGAGAGAGAGAGAGAGAGAGAGAGACTAATCATTATCGAAAACAATTACTCCATTCATAATTGTATGGTCTAATGTATAAAATGCTATGAAAATTGATGGCAAAGTACAAGTTTTTTGTATTGAATATTATTATTATTGGCATTCAGTGCTCAAAGGAGTGGTTCCTAACGCAAGCCGTTTGTAAATACAAAATAAACACACAATGAAAAAGTGGTAATCATTATTAATTTTCACTCGTTTAGGGCTATCATTAAAATTTGTTTTTATTTACATAACAATATAATCACATTAGTCTACTCTCGTTTGTATTAAGCGGTTATTGTTAATGAAGTAATTCATTATAAATTATGGTCTGGTATTTCGTTTGGATCGATAGACAAAACGCTTATATCACACAAACATTCAATCAAGAAAAATAGAGTCACATCTGGCGGTCATAAACATAACATCCGATGAATGAAAATGATTTAATTGTCAAAAATACAAAAGTATTCCTCACTATAAAACAGATTGATATCAAAAACATAACAAATGTTTCTTTAAAGTGATTTAAAATCTAATAAATGTTAAATAAATAACTATAAACTACAGTATATAATCAAAAGTCTAGTCGATTAGACTTATTTACAACGGGTTTACGAATCACTTCCACTTTACTACTCTTCCCGATCCCGAGTTTGGGTAAACCAGTGTTGAGTCCCTCCAGCATAACACAGGCCTTACACACGGACTGACTCGATATGAAGCCACAGCGGGTGCAGACGCCGCGGGGCGGGAGTCGGACGCTATCTTTCAATGCCATCACTTCTCCGGAGTGAATGATATCCAATATAACTGACGGCCGAATCGACTCCAAGTCCTTAAGGAAAGTGCGGGCAAAGCCTCTGTAGGAGTTCGGGGCGTATATGCATTCGGTCGAGAAGTAGTCCAACTTCTGGAAGTAGGCATACATTACGATCTCCTTCTCATAGCAATACTTGAATGGCTTAACGCGCGGTATTGTGCTCTCGGCCTCACTATCACCACAACCGGTCACGATATTAGTGGCCCTCTTGAGCCGCGCGATATCACCCCTCAGTATATTCATAAGTATTGTCTCCGCGATGTCGTCGGCGTTATGGCCGGTAGTAATGACATCGCATTCAATGGCATTCGCGCCGCGATCTAAGGCCTGACGCCTGAAGACACCGCAAAACGTGCAGTTATTGCGGAGACCCGTCTGCTTCACCACCGCATCCATTGTCCAGCCGTACAGCTCTTTGTACGACAGAATCTTCAATGGGAGTCCGTATTGGCGTTGATTTCGTTTGACGGTCTCGAGTGAGTCATCCCTATAGCCAGTGATGCCCTCATCGATGGACAGCAGAAACAGATCCAATCCGTAATCGTATCGTTCGTTCAATAGTTTCATTACAAACGCCAAAACAGTCGAGTCTTCGCGTATGAGAGACACCATTGAGATAATCATTGGTTGTGTCCATCAAGTGGTCATACCTTTGCCTCCGGAGGCGCCGATCGCCACTTTGTCACCCCTTTTGAACAGTTGTCCACAAGTGATCGTTTCGTGTACTTCCGTCTCAAAGCAGTAATAGAAACACGACTTACAGAGAGCTGATCCCTAATGAGACACAACCAAAAACATCGATGGTATCAATAATTATCATCAAAACAATTGTTTTGTCAAAACAATTAATTTTTGCAAAAATTATGGTTAATATAAGCGAAACATACATTTTTCGGTCGCTTCAGAACCGGTCTCTGAGTCTGACATCGACTACAAGTGATGGACATCTCATGCAAAGAGTGGTGTCTTTCGGCGATTCAAATGCAAACACAAATTGATATCTAATTTCACATTAAATACAATTAATTGTATTTTGTATTCAAAACGTGTTTATAATCAAGAGATGTATAAAACGGTTCAATAGATGTCTCTATCATTTGTTTGCAATGTTTGCCAAACCATTCATATATAACGTGACATAAATGACGGCATTTTATTAAAAGTTGACAAATTCTGTGTTATCTAATCGTGGGTTAAGTTTTGGCATTTGAATGATTGAAAGTGTAATACATTTCGACAGTTTTGTATTGAAAAATGCATTTACCTATAATTGTGAAGGGATGATAAAATAGTGCCATGGTAAATTATATGTACTAATATTATGTTTGATACTTGAGACACATTTGGGAACTGATTGTAGCCTTTATTTCAATGCTAACCTGTATTTAGCTGTCATTCGTGTACTTTTCAAACCCTAACCATTGATTAGTATTGACTTATTTTCTCTAATTAGTAAAGAAATGCACGAATAAATTACATGACTATTTTATTGCCGTAAAAGCCCCACATGCATTTTGCAGATTTTGCCTGCATTGAAAACTATCGCAATTATATCCGGGTATAATTCCACCTCTTGTCTGAAATTCATCAACATTATTTATTAAAATATTAATTTTATAAATATTTTAAAAAGATTATATCTTAAGAGTTAATATTAAATTATATTCAATAAATAATTATCTATTATTTAATAATTAATGATATTTAATTTAATTAATTATAAAGTTGTACCTTAATTAACTAATTAACTTCAATTTTAACTTTAACTTAAATTAACTAATTACGGTAATTAACTTAAGATATAAACGAATTTTAGTTGTAATTTATATCTATGCAAAATCTACTGCAACTATTCAAATGTATTCGGAATCCGAATTTTGGATATGGTTTGAATATTCAGATATAATAATATGCAACTAAAAGCGGCGGTTTAAGGTAGTAATATATAGATGAGAATTAATAAATATCTACATATATGCTCACCATGGTACTAACCATCATTCTTGGTAACTATTCAAATTGTGGGTTAATTCAAATAAACCATTGACTAACATTTACTATTATAGAAATATTAATAATAATTTTAATGACAGAATTTTGTGATAATTTTATCGTAGATTGCTATATTAGTTATTCAATGTTTAATTTTAATCATGTTGTATCAAAATATATTAAATTCACCTCGAAAGGTGTTGAATATTAAAACTTTTTAAATATTCCAGAAATTAAGTTTAAGTTAATTCATACACTTTAATGTAATCAGTGATGACTACTCTGCCTATCAAAACCGTAAAAGGACTTTAACCCTTCGCTTTATACATGTTTGAAATATGCATTAAATCATATGTTGTGTATATTTAATTTAATTTATACTGAATAAATCTTGATCATAAAATTAATAAAACGTGATACAAAACTCGACAACTCTTTAACACTATAATTAAGTTAGTTATGTAAAAGTATTCACAGCATTCATATGACACGACTTTTTTAAAAGAGTGAAGTATAAACAAAAAGTGAAGTGATGGCCGTAATGACCATGGTAATAAATTTATACATGAATGCTAATGTAATACAGCATTTGTGAAAAGCGGTCAACTAATTGTAATCGTTGGCTGAGATCGAAGTGAAGAGTCGTTTGTCCAACTCTATAGTGAGATAGTGTGTAGAGTTAGGGCTGGTATGGCATCTGCGCTCTCCCTCTCCTCTCATCCATACACACACTTCTTGTGCCCAACATTTGAATCGAGAATACACTTCGGTTTTGTTGTAACCGATAGTGAAGTACAGCATATATACGGCATTACAAATACACTTTGGTTTCCGAACTGATAATTGAAAACTTTTTTGATAACAAGTCTTAAGTAATAGCAAATACTTGTTTGTCTTTTGAACGCACAGTAAAGCCGACCATAAAATCGGGGCTTTTTTTTATGTCGGAAGCCATGAAACCGTCGGCCGATAAGACGATAGACTCATATCAACTGACGATAGATTCAAGTCTAACGAGTGAATCGGATTTCTCGTTAAGTTTAGATAACTTTACGTTTTTTCGCAATTTTTCGCTCAATAATTACAATACCAGTGAACTTATTATTGAAACCGTGACCAATGATACGGACTCCTCGTTTCAGCCCTACTATTTCTATCAGGTTTGCAAAACATACATATATTTTTTTCAATCATTTATAATAATTTTCATTTATTATAATTATGTTTCCAAAACTTTTCTCTATTAATATATTTAATAAGTCATTAATATTCACCAATAATCGGATATTCTGTACACCCTTTCCCTCTCTATGTACAGTATGTGCGATCATATATGCGATCAATTGCTATGATTCGCGTGAATGTTGTCATAAAGTGTTATAAATTACAACTATTTATAATAATTATAAGCGATTCTTGTGTTTTTAAATTATTAATGCTATTCAAAAAATACCATTTATTTCATAGCAATTTATACAATGTATTGCAATCAGATTTCATAGAAATAATCGATGCAAACATTATTTGCTTTTTTCATATCAATTGTTTGAGTCTTATTTTTTTATCACAACAGGAGTTTTGGCTATAAATTTGACAAATCCTTAATCCTGTTGTGATTAATGAGTT